CTCTTTTCACAACAAAGTGCCTGTGTTTGGGACTTGTTGGCCTACATACTCAATTAGTTTTACACGTTCCGCCTTCATTTGAATGCTCATTTCAAAGTTTATGCCCAAGCGCAAACTGCACATTGACCAATTACTTTAGAGCCCGTCGTAGTGTTTAAAACTTTATGCCAACACACACATAAACGCAAAACATGATGAGAATCAACGAAAATGATTTAATCCTTGAAATGAATTTGCATAACATTCAATACAGTGGAATTGGATAAGGTGGTGGTAAAGAAGCTTACAGTGCTAAATGAGAGGATACACTTGGTTTTTTATTTAAATAATTCTGGTTGATTGTTTTGCATTGATATGCAAACATTTACATATTTTAAGTAAAATGAGAACGAGGAACAGTAATTGGAGCCGAGAGGACGAAGAACATAGAAAAAAAAGGTTGTTGCATATTTTGATGAATTCGGTACATACACCGTTTTTTTTTTATTTCATTCGTGATATTTTAATCACGCATTAAACAATGACCACTTCGAACGTGCGAGTCAAATGAAAAATTAAAAAAAAAAGCAGAAACGCGCTTGCATAGCCCATAAAAAATGGCAATATTTTCTCGTCATCGTTCGTCCGTTTTGAATGATAGCACGCGAATCTATTCACTTCACGCTATCGTCAACCTTGAAGTCAAATTTCCGTGCATGCACTATGAGTGCTAAAATAAGTCACTCTTTTATATACACATACATTTTTTGTGACTCTTAATTTGTTCCATTCCCAACCCAATGAATTTTTTTATCAACCAATGACAATGCTCATGAAATGTAAAAAAATGATCGTAATTCCGATGAAGAACAAAAACGAAGAAGTGCACAGCATAAACTAGCTATTGAATTTTGAACAAGCGTTCAAATTGAAAAGGCAACATAAAAAAAAGAATTCTGTGCAATAAATGAAAAGAGAGTGAACAACTCTTTATATCTTGTGAAAAATCATAATAAAATTTATGCGCGCAATGAGCAGACGATACGCATAAAACGTGTGTGATTGTTTTTTTTGTAACTCTTTTCGATGGCGAATATCATCATTTGTCGAGATTATATCTGCTCTATGAGTGTCAATCGACTATAAGACTCCTTCCTCGTTAATTGCTTTCGAATACATGCGCAGCTAAATCTAACGGAACGATGTCGTCTGACACAGACTTTTTGAGAAAATCGAAATAAAGAAGAAAAAAAAAATACTATAAATAAATGAATGTGGACAAAAATGAATGTTTGCCATATAGCATATACTATATGACAGTGTGCAGAATATAATGATATTTCAAATGAACGCACGTTTATACGTACATACGGCTACAGTGAATTTCGATATAATTGAAGAACAATTACTTGTGCGTTGTCTTATATATCTACGACGAGACATAATTACATGAATATTTTTTTGGGTCTACAATTATATGCATGAATTTATGATATGTGCGCCCGCATCTTTCGATCTATTCAAATGCAATGACATTTTTCGTGAAATATCAACTTCGATTTATGATAATCGTTTGAACATTTTTGTTCTATGATATGATGTGTGATATTATTAATAGTCTCTCTTTCTGTAATAATACAAGACAAATAATATTATTGCTTTTTGAGTATTTTAGTTTGGCTACACTCGAATCAAGACGAAATTTTATTGCCCTTGATATGGGACACAACTGAATAAGAGAAAAAGTTGCGTATATGTGTCATAATCAAAGTGCGCGACAACATGTAATATAATTCCGTCATTTCAGCAAATGTAATAATAAATGGATGAAAATGAAATGATGGTGTCCATGATTCGATTGGGGGTTGGTTGACTCGCTGGCTGGCGACCGACCGAATAAATCACAAACATTATGAAACGATAGAATTACCATTTCTACAATATGTATAAAGCACGAAAATATATTTATTTTTTGCAGAAAATTTCGTGTCGTGCATTGAAAATCGTGCGAGCGAGTGAAAGAGCGTAAAAGAGAGGGCAATAGAAGTGAGAATGGTTTGAGTAAGCGAGAAAAGTACAACTAATAAAATCATTCAGCCAAAATATTACACATAATAATCAAACTGAAACGATACGATCGAATATAATGTGTGCAATGCGAAATACTTTTCAATTATATTATGTATGTATTCTATATAGCATAAATAGTTATACTTTTGGGTTTTTGCGATTGTGTTGCGATTGAGTGCCAACACAGTGTATCAATGGTGTTAAAAATTATCCCGGCAAACTGATGAGATGGAATGAGGTCATTCAAGAGTCACATTATCACAATATGCAATCAAGTCCTCTCGCTCTTTCCACCCTTTTCGTCTCTAATTCACACTAAACTTGCATTGATATTATATACGGTATTTCGGAATGACCCAAGAGATGGATAGAATCTCGTAAAGTAATCACCAAAACGTGTCAAACCGCAAAAATAATCAAAAACTGCTATAAAACTGAAATATCGGCGGTACGATCGAATATTCTTCAGCGCCAAATACACAAACATACACAGATACAATGTTGATGTCCTTTTCAAATCAACGAAGAAGCAGCGTGAAAAATGTGTTAAGATATTTGTATGGTTTTCGATTGTCACTATTTCTAAGAATTCCCATGTAAACAATCGTTTGCGTCATAGAAATCGGTAAATTTGATTGAAGCTCACTCAATGCTATTCATTTATCAAACGAGTTTTGTTGCGTTTGTTTCTATGTATGGAATTACGGTCAATTCCATCTTTACATGTTTTTTTTTTATCGCAAAAAAAAACTAAAACGAATGCGAAAAATAATAAGCTCCAATTACTGTCAATTTTACTATCGCATCAGCAAAGCCTTTCACAACCGCATGTAGACCGATTAAAAAATCACATGGAAAAGTGTTTCAAACCAAACAAACATCGTCAAATGGTATTAACAATTAAAACTATCAAAGAAGCCACACAACGGTGTCAAAATTTTCGAATGAATTGTTGCACACAAACAAATAATAATAAAGTCGCCACCAAATGGCTTTGCATGCTTAACGTAATCATATTACAGTTAGTTAACTGTTGATTATTTCTTGAAGCAGTTCAATCAAATAAATACATTCGAATCAAAAGCAACAAAAGAAAAATTGTTTGAGAGAAATTCTATAATATTTAAATTAATGTTTCCCTTTCGAAGTACGTACACGAAACGTTCACTTCATTTTATCAAATTTTATTTCATTATTTCCCTTTTTTTGTGTGATTAAATGTCGTGCGAGTTGAAGCTTCGGCTATCCACACATGATATCCAATTAAACTTATCGAACAAAACATTTTGATTCACATCACAATGTCAGAGAAGTTTGCACATAAAGTACACAACACGCTGCTGCGTTGACTCCACACATTGAATATATTCATTTCATAGTTCAGTCTTCGTTTGTATTTTAGCTCGGCTTCTTTTTTCACTCTCTTTCTCTCCTGTTTCACTCTCTTCCTTATTTTGGAAGCGAATGAGCGAAAACTTAACGCAAAAGTTTTCAAATCGTACGTCGTTGATAGTAATCGTGTTCTCTTTCTAACGATCTCATCATTAAAATTGTTATTGACTTATCAAGTTACATAGAAAGTTTTTAAGCGTAAGGGTTGACATCTGATGATGTTTTACTCCGACCATCCTCATATGCTTTTGACTGTATATTTATAAATGTGTGTGTACGCTGAAAACCACGTCTTCCCGGATGGCTTGAATGAATTTTTTTTGTGATGAACGTATGATGGAAATGGATAGTTAATTTCGTGGTTGTTGCTTTTTTAACGTTTTTCACACTCGACTATTTCTGGATACATTGAATACAGATATTGTGCATGGCTTACTATAGTTTGCTGTTAACTGAATTTAAGAATAAAAGAATTCAATGGAATCTATTATTCGAATTGTCGCATCTTTTATTTCGCCTGCTAAGTGTATTGAATAAATTTCATTACATTGTATATTGTAAGCGTTAAAAATAAGATTCAGTGTGAAACAAAAAAAAAATAAGAACTTGTTTTGCGACTGCATCACGAGGAAAGTGTGTAAATTTAAGCTATATTTTTTTGTAGTTGGAACGAATTCCTTTTGAAAATCAATAAAATAAGTATTTCACGCAATGGAGTGTAAAAAAAAAAACAATTTAATTTGTGCCTATAATATTGATTGTAGAGTGTGAAATTGTTTAAATATTTTATTGAAGAAAATGCGGTGAATATTTTTTTCTTCTTCTAAATAATTAATGAATTTGCCACACGACCACGCGCACTGCATAAAAAATAACGTTCAACATTTGTAGCAGAATAAAATCGAATCGTTTGTTTGGTGTTTGATCTAGGGGGTAGACACATGGAATATTACTTGAGATATTCACCGAAATTGAAGGTATTCTTGGTATTCTCAGTTTTAGGCGAAATGTCAATGCATTCAGCAACGTCTCACAATGTGCATATATGAATATTATCTTCCAAATATTAAAAAAACTTTTTCAACGCTATCAAGTGTATTATTTCAATTGGTTTAATAAATGCAAAAACAATTTTGATAAAAATGACAGAAAGAAAACAGAAAAAATTAGAATAAATTTCAAAATGGTGAATGTTAGAACGAAATGGAAAAAACTTGAAATCTTTATTACCGATATAAATTTGACATTTGGTAATCACGGTATTCACATTTTTAGTACAAGTAATCTTCAAATAAGTAAGTAATTGTCGTATTTGAAAATAGATAGGTATTATGACAATTCATTGGTATTCATTCATTCTCTATTGTGTCTACCCCCTAGTGTTTGATATTTTTCTTCTTCTTCTTCGCGTTTGAAATTAAATTATACATACGTTTGTCCATAAAAAAGATCCGACGCGAAAAGTTTTTTCTTTGCATTTCTCGGTTGTTGTTTTGTTTTTTTTCTTCTAATTTTTAAATACATTCAACTAATGTGTTTATTTTCCATTTTCATTCTAGTTATTCGCATTGATAGAACGGCCGAAGTAGTGTAAAGTGTGAAGCGAATCACTGCAAAGCAACGTGTAATGCAAAACGAAGGCAAATCGTTCAATTATACGATTTACAATCAACAATTGTAACTAATCCTTGGTAAATAAAAGAAGCTGCAAAAATAAAACGAGAAAAAAACATAGAGAGAAATATATAGAAGTATCATCATCTATGCCTGAGTGTTATTTACAAAACTAAAAAAAAGATTCAAATAAAAATTTTGAAACAAAAAAAAAACATTCATATAAAAGTGCACACACATAGACCAATTCCGAATATAGTGACACAAACAAAACCACATAGAATAGAAAAAAAGTGAAAAACAAAACACCGACATCAACAGTGTGAAAAGTGTGAGACGAACGATTTTTTCAAGACGAAAAAAGAGTTTTAATTTTGGCATCTAGTGGGTGTGAGTGCGCTTGTGTGTTCGTTTGCCGCGAAAAAAGAAGCACACGAGAGTGAGTGAGTGAGAGGCGAGGAATAGAGATAGAAAGTAAGCGCGCGGTATAAAATAAACGGGAATAGAGAATAGTTGAAAATGTCTTCGAATCAGCAACATTCTAGTACAAGTGCATCGGCAACCAATACAACAGGTACCACCACAACGTCGTCGACAACAAATCAACAACAGCCACAGCAAACACAAGATCAACAAGCCACAGAGAAAAAGCACTCGACCACCGATCGAGCTATCGATAGTAAGTTTGAATTTTATAAACACTATTTCACTCTTCGCATACACACAAACACACACACACACCAAAAACCGATTAAAGCAAAATTATGTCAAAATTATAGCCGAAACAAATCTTTGAGAGTACTTTATGTGAACACATGGTTTTAATGATTTTGTTTTAATTTAAATCATTTATTCGCTCGAAATTTTAATTCATTTCAATATACATGAATGTTTTTATTTGATATGCACAGGTGTACCTTTTCCACCAAGCCATAAATTAACCGTAGCAGAAGTGTTCGATGCGCGTAGCGGCAAACCTCAATCCGATGTACTTAAGCAACATTTTATACTTGAAGGACGAATTGAAGAAGCGGCCGCCTTACGTATCATACAAGAAGGTGCCGCTCTACTTAAATCGGAAAAAACAATGATTGATATTGAAGCGCCCGTCACAGGTATGTAGAACCAAACGCAATTATTTGTTTAATTACATGCAATGGGAACGGTGCTTGTTGTTGGTGGCGTTTTCCATTTCCACGAATGGGGAAGAAAAAATATGCGGACATCAATCATAGGAAAATTACGATTAAATTGCAACTGGTGTTTACGCCATTGTACACAATTGAACCTAACACTTGCTCCAAATTCACAATAATAAATTTAAACTCAGTGAACACTGTAATCTTCTTTCGAAAATTCTTCCATGAAATAGCTGTGATTAGAATTTTGACCAGAAAAAGTATCAACTTGTCCCTCTCAACCATTTTCAACTTTAAATTGCATTTTTTTATGGACATTCATTCTCTAGAACCAGAGAATATGAATTCATATTCATATTCGTACTCGTTCGTGTTCGTTCGCATTTGTCACGAATACGAACGAACACGAATGGGGGAAAACTTTCTACGAACGAATGGGAACGAACACGCCGTCTCCTTTAGCGAATACGAACGAACACGAATCAGAAAATTCTTTCGACGAACGAATGCGAACGAACACGCGAATAAGGGAGACGTTAGCGAATACGAACGAACACGAATCAGAAAATTCTTTCTACGAACGAATGCGAGCGAACGCTTGACCTTTAATTTCATAGTGAACACTTTTTCTTTGATTTTTCATAACCTTTGTTTGAATTTTTTTTAAATTTTTCTATTAAAAATGTTTACGAACGAACACGAACGAACATGCTATCTCCTTTAGCAAACGCGAACGAATACGAATCGGAAAATTTTCCTGCGAACGAACAGTTTTTATACAAACGCGTTCGTAGACATCTCTAGCCCAAAGTCGTTCACGTTTAAAGTTCAATCAATAAATGTCTCACGATCAATGATTCCCTCTTCGTATTGAAATATATTCTCTCCACATTCAGTTGGTGGACCTTCTTTTGATTTTTTTTTATAAATAATGAACGACAACAAATCCGTTCTGACAAAATTTTCACTGCAAAAATACAAATGAATATTTCATATGGAAAAAGGTTCTCAGTTGAAATAAATCGTTTATTCATTTTTCCCAATCAAAATTTCAAATGTTCATTATGTATGCATGGTATTTGTATGCATTGAAATGAAAGACTCAATCGTTTCGAAGATTGGTTAAAATGTCGGATGTCCTGTATTTGCATAAATTGGCACGTAGATGCCATTGTGCTATTGTCGTTGTGTCAACCCGAAAACCAATCCAAACAATAAGTATATATATTTATATCGAACAGATTTGATAATTCTTTTATCTTTTCCATTTTAAATTTCAGTATGTGGTGATATTCATGGACAATTTTATGATCTCATGAAACTATTCGAAGTTGGTGGACCGCCTTCATCAACAAAATATCTTTTTCTCGGCGATTACGTTGATCGAGGATACTTTAGCATAGAGGTACGTATAGTCTACAATTCAACATACACATTTTTATGGTGGTAAACATGTTGGAGTAGCTCTTTTTTGTAATGCTTATATCAATAACTGTTTTTTTGTGCATTTTCAAATTTCTCTGTTTTTTTCTCTCCTTTTTACCATGTTTATTCGTGCTCATCATTCCATGCCGCCCGTCAATTTGGATCGTTTACATTTCGTCATTATTCCCGATGATTTTGGGGGACAAAAAAAATGTTTGTGTATATATGGCCATCTCATCAAAAATCAACGCATTTTCATCTGTTGTCATATCGTATTGTTTGCGCGTCCCACACATATGTATTCTTCCTCATACTCGTCAATCGACATAATGACAACAAATAACACCAAAATAATCGAAACAAAACAACATCGAAACAACCAATCAACATCAAACCAATAAACCACATAAAATCAAAACAAATTTAACATGGATACGCCAATACACATTCGATAAATGTAGTGTGTTCTGTATTTATGGGCATTGAAATTATGTTATCCAACTACATTATTTTTACTGCGTGGAAATCACGAATGCCGACATCTCACAGAATATTTCACATTCAAACAAGAATGTAAGTGTAATTCTTCCACAAAAAAAACAAATTTCAAACTATTTTTTTTATCGCTTTAAATTTATTTTTGTTTTAAGTATTTATTTTTCAGTACATGAAATTTCTCCCGCCCCTTTGTCGCACAATTTACATTTCATTTTGATGCATGCGTATTCATATACGTTCATCGTCTATAATGCACCTGTTTGATATAGATCAAGCAACCAGCAGCAACAACAATAATAATAAACATTCCGCTCGAATAAATTGAACCGAATTTTCTCCGTGTACACAAATTCGTTTGACAAATAATATATTTTTCTGATGCAAAAAGGGTCAACTTCAACCGACATATTACGAAAATTGTGTTTTCCTATTATGCAGAGGTTGATTGAAACATTCGGTTCATTTTGCAACATTCGATTTGAATGAGAAATCAAAATAAATGAAAAGCAGCTTTTTGCCCATGTCTTCATGCACTTCGGAATGACCCCGAATCTTTTACTATTCATCTCAATGTATCTTTCTCAATATCAAATTTCATGTGTATACGTTAAAATGTTATTTTGGATATCAAACAAGGACGAGAAAATGCAAAAGTTTTAGTATTGCAGTTGTTTCGTTGCGTATAGAAGGCGTTGTTGTTGTCGTCACTGAGTATGTTTTCATTCGATCAGAGGCAGGATATTCAAGAAGGCTACGCCAAAAGAAGACCATAAAAAATGAATTTAATCATTCAGCCAAATTGTTAACGCCAACAGAGCGAATATAGAGAAATTCTTTGAACCAATTTTTTCTCGTGTTCGCGTTTCATTTCCAAATATACAAAATAAATGAGTGAAAAGAATGAAAAAAAAACCGAACTAGAAAATATGCATAGCTTTAAAATTGCAATTTAACGTGCGAAAGCATTTTAAAGCTATTCGGTAAACTTTAACGTGGCAAAGTTAAAAATAAAGTTCATGCAATACAGCGATCTAGACTGTCTCACTATTGGTCAGCTACATGCAATTAATTGCAGAAAATTCGTAGTTTTCCCATCGGACACACTTAATATTTTATGCATGCGATTTTGCGACGATCGTCGGACCGCATGAGTCTTTGAAATAAAATCAAAAAACATCGTCAAACCGGGTCGGTCATAATTTTGCAACAGCAAGAAAGATGAAAACAAAAAGGAAATCAAAACACAAAATTCTTCTTAAAAGCGTAATAAACAAAGGCAACAACAAGACACACAGCAAAACATTCCATATGAACCATATAAATATGGGTAGAGTTGCAGTGAAAATAGTTTTTCTCTGCGAGAGCGAATAAAAAATGTTCGACACACGAACAACAACAACAACAGCAACTACATCGACTGTAGAGCCGAATTGAGAGAGAGAGAGAAAGAAAAGTAATTTATTCGGTAAGCGCCGGCTCGAGAAAATGCAAGAGCGCAATATTCAAATTAGTAGTAAAGTGAATAGAGTAGCCGCTAGCCGTTTTTTCTGCCACGTTTTCGTTTTTCGTCATTGTCGACGAGTAAGAATGTTTCCACTTTGGTGGAAATAGAAATAATTGAGCATAACGAAAAAAGAAGCACGACAGCAGTGGCAGCAACGTTCCAAAGTACTTTGAATCATTTGATTCGATCCGTATGCAAGCATTTCTCTTGAAATTACCTTCAAAATCGATTACTCCCATGCGCTCGTAAAATACCAAACATTTTCTCTCTCTCTGTTATTATATCGTTTCTACGATTCACTTCCTGTCGCTCGTCTATCGATTTGAAGATATCTGAGACTGATACACTCGGTCTTTTGCTGCTCTCTTGGTCTGTTCGATACAGTTGCCGAAATGGAATTGTTAACCCAGAAAAGTGAGTGATTAAATGCGCTCAACATAATCTCGGCACAGGCATACCGATGCATATAAGCACACATAGCGAGAGAGAGAGAGAGCATATCTGATGCATGATATATAATTTTTGCTGCATAAAAGAGCAAATTCAATTTTAAAACAATCTTTTAAATTTGATTCACTTATGCAGCAAGTGGCTTTTTATCGAAATATTTCATAAAATTATCGGAATTTCATTAGCAAGTGCTATCCAATTATTGCGGTAATAAAAATGATATATCCCAGCGAAAAATGCAGTGTGTGGGAACAAAGTGGCGGATACAAAATTATATGAAAAAAAAAAAAACCATAGAGCCGGGAAATTGCAACTCGTTTTGCTGCTGCTTGAAAATTGATTTATAGATTTTTTTTCTAGTGTTCTGTTTGCCCCGTTGGTCTTTAAAATGATTGAATTGAATGACATTAAATTTTTTTGTTTGTCTCTTTGCCCATTTTGTTTGCAGGTCGAATAAAGTATTCGGAACGTGTGTACATCGCGTGTATGGAAGCATTCGACTGCTTACCGTTAGCTGCATTAATGAATCAACAATTTCTATGTGTACATGGTGGTTTATCGCCCGAGATTCATGATTTAGATGATATTAGAAAGGTAAATATCCATTTTTTGTTTTAATTTTACAATTTTCTGTATCCAATCATTGTATTTCCGCTCAACAAAGAAACAATATTTTAAATAAAACGTTTGATTTTTCTCTTAATTTAGCTGGATAGATTTAAGGAACCACCAGCCTATGGTGCAATGTGTGATCTATTGTGGTCAGATCCATTAGAAGATTTTGGCAACGAGAAAAATTCAGATTTCTTTTCGCATAATTCTGTAAGAGGTTGTTCGTATTTTTACAGGTAAGAAAATTAAAATGTTTTGCATTTCAACTCAATAATTTTGATTATTTTTCATTCACAATTGTATTCAATTTATTTTCAGTTATGCGGCGTGTTGCGATTTTCTTCAAAACAATAATTTACTATCAATAATTAGGGCACATGAAGCACAAGATGCCGGGTAAGATAATTTTACACAAAAACTTGATCAAAATCAAATAATCGATATCGTTTCTCATGGATAATTGTTTTAATTTACCAGATACCGAATGTACCGAAAGAGTCAAACAACAGGTTTTCCATCGTTGATTACGATATTTTCGGCGCCAAACTATTTGGATGTTTACAATAACAAGGTAAAATCATAAACGATAATAACATCGAAATTCTATTTCACATCGTTCACATTGTCTGTGTGTTTTTGTTTTCGACAGGCCGCTGTATTGAAATATGAAAACAATGTAATGAATATTAGACAATTTAATTGCTCACCTCACCCGTACTGGCTTCCAAATTTCATGGATGTGTTTACATGGTCATTGCCATTTGTCGGTGAAAAGGTTCGTTACACCGAATCACATATATCCTCGCTAATATATATGTTATTCGATTTTTTTTTTGGTGACTGATGACTGTTTGATTGTTTTGGTGGTGTTTTTTTTTGTCTTTTGTAGGTAACCGAAATGCTGGTCAATGTGTTGAACATTTGTTCGGATGATGAACTGATGTCGGATACTGACGATGCGCTCGAAGAAGGTAAATTCATCGCATGTACAGTGTGTTTTATTGTATCAGACCCTCAATCGTGCTCAACTTTGTATACCCGAGAAAAAAGGAGAAAACTTTATTATGTTCAAAGTTCTTCTTCTTTTGTGTTTTTTTTTCTTAAAACCTTTGAATTCTTTCGTTCATTTCAATCAAATCCGTGTTTTTCTCTCCTACGATTACATTTATATTATGTTAACTGTTTTCTTCTTTACTTACTTTAAATGCGAATTTCTAGTTTCAACGCTTTTGTGTTCGGGTTGGATGCGAAAAGCGATTTATTTGTCGAATTCAAAATGACTTGTCGAATGTGAAATATCCATATCTATTGTGGGGAATCCGCGATTAGGAATGAATTGCAATTCGATTAAATCAAACGTTTTTCGACCAACTCACTTCAGTTTTTTTTTTTTGCTCGTTTGACGTGTTCCTTTTTTACTTATTTTTAAGTGTTTTTTTTTATTCATTCAATATTTCTGTGATTGTTTGCTTTTTTCAGTGCTATTTGCATTTCATGATAATTTTGATTAAAATCGCGATTTTATTTTTTCTTCATTTCAAGCGTTGAAATTGTAAAAGATTTTTTTCCGTCGATTCTTACATCGAGTCTTTTCGAATATATCTTCCTTTATAAAAAAAAAACCTTTTTCACTTAGTTTTTCGGTTCAGTTTTATTTATTTTTGTTTCAAAAGCTTGAAAAATAAAAATTTCAACTAACATAAGTTAAAACATTGTAAACGTTCCTTAGTCTTGTTGGTTTTTAACTTGAGGGTATAAGTGTCGACGTCAAATTCGTACCAACAATATTACAATATCTACTATTCATTGCTTTGACTTAACTAAAATTAAATTCTCTGTTTTTTCTCTCTTTTTTCTTCCATTTTTTTTCTCTTCAATGTATTTATATATACTTGTGTATTCTGTATCGGTCTGTGTCCGTGTATGTGTCACCATAATTCCAAACTGATCCAACAAATAACAAACAAACAAAAAAATATCTTTTTTAAACACGTAAACCAAATGGAATTCGAAACAATTCAAATCCACTCCATACTACCACATAAACAAAACGCTACCGAATTTCAAACGGAATTGGATGTATCGAAAAATGAACCAAAAAAAAAAACAATTATTTTTGTAAACTAAAATTTGCCACACATACAAATATTTATTTGCCTGAGTACAGCCGACGGTAAGATATTCTTCAACAACATATTTTCCCCAATCACATTTTATTTTTGTACCTCAAATTCGTTTTAATTTCTATATTTAAATTTTAGTTAGTTTCCCAAAAGTTCCCGAACAAATTTTGTTTCCCTCCTAACATTATTTCAAGGTGTTAGATCTAATGATTTGTTGTTTTTTTTTTACTTCTCATACGGTTGAAAACAGTTTAGAATTCCATTTTTCCGTTGTCATTTCGTTTTACAATGGAATACTATTGTAATGTCTCTTTTCGTTTATTCCCAGAACTATTTTTCTATTTCTGCATTTTCTCTAAATGCTTTCTTCAATAAGTTCACTCGCAAACAATTTTTTAACTATTTTTTTTTGCTTTTTGATTTCTACAAATTGCAAAAGAAACAACAAAACTGTTTTCCTACTCAGCTTTTATTCCCTATCAAGCTTCTATATCTCTATATCTTTCTCTTTTTTCTCTATCTATATCTCGCTCTCTATTTTTTTAAAAATATTTTTTGAATGGTCCGTTTTATTTTAAATTTTTTGAAACCTTGATTGAGCAAAAACAAACCAAAAAATGCCAGAAATGCACTTAAACACACACACACACCCTGAACACAGATAAAATCAATTTAAACATGGTTCAGTCCATTGTTTTACAAATTTCGTTTCAATCGAACATTTTTGGTTTTACTCTTGGATGAAATGTTTCCACCTAAACAAAAAAAATAAACAAATGAAATGCAATAAAATACAATCAGGAAATTAAACGGATATCCAAGGATCTCGTTTTAAAAAGTGAACTTGAAAAATAATCAATGGCATTTTTCAAAAGCTAAATATCACACGCTTTGCAATATAAAACGATTGAATTTTGAATGAAAACATTTTTTCATTTACTACATCCGATTGAATGTTATTCGAACGTTTTTTTTAATTAATTATTTTCAAAATGTGTAAGCGTTTTTATGATTGAAACGTGTTGAACTATTATTTTATTTAAAAAAATTGTTCGGCTAAAAATAATCGGCATTTGTAGATAAATGATTCCTTGTCACGGTAAAACACAACACATACATTCAACGAGTATTATCAGATCAAAAAAATCACTAGCCCAAACCAGTTTCATCCGACTAGGTTCGATTGATCGAACAAATAATATACACGCTTTTTCGTCAGAAAATAAATTCTTCTTCTGCATACTTACTGATCAATGGCGCTTTTTTCCAGTGTTTTTTTTTTCTTTGAAATTGTCGAAAATGACATTGTAACAAGTTTTTCGCCTAACATTTTGATTGAAATGGTCATATTATTTCTATCCGAATGATTTTTGTTTTATGAATTTATTCGTTTTTAATGTAATTTATTTATCTTTTTTTTACTCGTTTATTGTTCTCTTTATTACTATTCGAAACGAAACCAATCTATAAACAATTAACATCCCCGGGTGTGTAAAACACACATGACAATGCCTGTTTAAAAAAACACATCTATATATATAAAAACCACGATAAAATTTGGTAATCAAACCATGTCTCTCATCCCGACACCAAAACAAAACAAACACGAAAACGGTATTGTGTATTGTGCGATGCGAACAACTTGAAATATGAATTATAATGAAACGAAAACTCATTGCACGCAAATTCGTCATCACAAAACCACTTTCTATATCCCAAAACAAAAAATATACCGCAATAACAAATGATATAAAAAAAAATCAAATCAAACCAAAAGTAATCCGACAAAAGCTCGTTGTCAGACCGCCGGTTAAGAAGATGTGTAAGTTAAAAGGCGATTGATGCGTTGCGTGTGTATGTGTGCGTGTGCCAAACGATAACATATCTTTACTGATTTCGTTTTTTCGTTAAAAATTTCAGTTTTAAATCCCAAACAATGTGTGATTTTCATTTAATAAAAACATAAGTTGACATTTTGTTTTTCTAAAAGCAAACGACAGCAAATGTTTATTTTCTCGTGTGTTAAAATCACATGTATTGTTGATTTTCAAGCCGTTAATCAACTAAACGATTTTCTAATGCATTTTTCATTGCTTTCATTCATTTGTGTGTGTTTTTTAAGCCCCATCTCGTTAGTTTTAATGTGAAATTCATTTAAGATTTAGATAATAAAAAAAAATGTATGTGAAATACGCTGACATGCATTGCATTTTTATTCAGTTTTTGCTCTATCGCGTGCCCCTTTATTTATATCTATCTTTTATTAAACCAATTTTATTCCATAGTAATGAAGCTTTTTTAGAGAAAGAAAAACCGTAGAAATAATTTTTCTTCCCAATACGCTTAATTATTCAGACGAGTGACATGAAATTTGCACCGTATTGTTACAAAATTAGAAAAATAAAAGCATTTTAGATGAATCGGAAATTGACATTGCAAAAAATGATTTTATTATGAAAAAAAAAAAATATCTCTCACTTCGCTCGACTGATATAGCTAAACGCTCCATATTTCTAATTTTTAATTTTCTTTGTTTCAATATTTCGTTAAAAACTCCAAGTTCTTTGTTTTAAAAAATATTTTTCCATTATATTTCGAACTAAAACTTTGAATAGAACAAATCAATATATTTCATATTTTCAATTTTGAAATACTTACAATATTTTTCTTTTTTCCTTTCTTATTTTCAACTTTCAAAAACCAAAATAAATAACAAAAAAAAAAAAAATTCTAATAATAAAACCATTGAACAATGTTCTCATGCGACGCTTATCACCACAACACGTAACAAATTCGACATCACAATTTAATTTAATTATATAAACGAAAACATAATTACAAATCAATTTCTTCAATTTGTGCACCAAAATCCTACTATCCCAAAACTAATTCTCAAAAATCACCACTGCCACTAAAACTAACACCATCACAATCTTATCCCCAAAAATATAAAAACCTCAAACCTGATCTATCACATTTATTTTTATATTTGCCTTATGCATTTTCTTTTCATTATATTTATTATAAAAACAAATTTAATCAAATATTTTTACTTTTTATTTTACTAATCGTAATATTGTGTTTCTTTTTTAATATTTTTTATTCTTGTCGTTTGTTTAATTTTTTTTTTTCTAATTTGCGTTCATGAAATTATTTTTGAAACAAAAAAAATATGTTCTAATTTCGGTTTTGTTTTCTTTTTTCTTCTTCTTTTAAATCACATTCCACAAATACACGAAAACCAAAAATGCAAATCAATAAAAAAACTATTAAATATGATGGTTTTTCGACACGGCCAAACCACAACACCAAATCAAATACACGCAATACTACAATAAATTGAACGAAACAAAAATAAATATATAAAAAAAAATCAACTATAAATCAATGACCGACGTGAATTTTTGATGCGTGTGTCCATTGTTCTTCTGCTGCCTGCAACTTTAATTTACCTATATCAAAACAAAAAACGCACTCAACCAATTCACCAACACTGAAAATATCAATAAAATAAAACATGATTCGTTTTGATCAAACAATCGGTCGATCCGATCGCAATGACGACACGCTCAAAACAAATTCGATTCAATCAAAACAAAAAAAAAATCAAAACCAAAATACCAAATAACTCTGTCAATGAATGACAAACAAAAATAAAATAAAATTCCAAAAAATTTTGTTTTTCTTCTTCGATTGCCGGTAAGTATTCAAATGCAAATTATTTAGCTATAAAAAATCTCAAATTTTTTTCTCGCTTATTATTACTTTGTTACTTATAAATCAATTTCTTTTTTTATTAATGTTGTTGTTCTGGTTCTCGTTGATTGTTTCAATTTAATTACTTTTTTCGTTATTCTATCTTTTTATTGGGATAGAATGAAAACTGTTTTCAAGACATTTTTTTCATTCATTTATATTTTTTTCTTGGAGGAAAATATAAAATCAATAATAAAATTAAAGAAAATGAACAACAATTCTTGTATTTAGATAAAAACAAATTGCTAATTATATGATTTTTTTCTCTGTCTCTCTCATTTTGTGTTATATTTTCATCTTTGGCTGTCTATTTCTCTGTGTGGTGCATATTGTGACATGCCCTAAATACACTATCCACACACTATGGTCAATTACGTGTACTCTGTGCTATCTAACGCTGTGCCACATTGTGTCGGACTAATTGGGATTGATTTTTTTCTGATATTTATCGTATCGAACCGGATGACAGGCAATGCAGCCAATTTGCGCAAGGAAGTTATTCGAAACAAAATTCGTGCTATCGGTAAAATGGCACGCGTATTCTCGGTACTCAGGTCAGTTTTATGCACGATGGAAGTCACATTAAACATTCCATTTCCGATGCTTATTACAGATGGTTTTTATTGATTTCACATATATCGCAATTACTTTAACATTACAGAGAGGAATCCGAATCGGTTTTACAATTGAAAGGTCTCACACCAACAGGTGCATTACCATTGGGTGCTTTATCCGGCGGAAAAACTTCACTCAAAAATGGTAAGTTCGTATCGTATTGCACCAAATTAATTGCTAATACAAAAATTCTCTTCAATTCTAAAAAAAAAAAAAACATGTAGCACTGCAAGGATTCTCGCCGAATCATAAAATAACCTCATTTGCTGAAGCAAAGGGCTTGGATGCGATCAATGAACGAATGCCACCACGAAAAGATGCGTTTATGCATTGTGCGTCACCAATTGGTGGTCCAACTGGTGGAGGTGGCGGTGGCGGCGGTCCAATCGGCGGCGGTGCAACCAGTCAAGGTGAAGATAGCGATAAAATTGGCATCAGTGTAAAAACGGAATCATCGTGAAACGATCAGCCCACGATTAATGTTCCACGATAGTCGTAATAAGTTTGCTTGATGAAAGTATTTCGCCTCGTTTGCGAACATCCCCCGATTTATGAAAACCCTGGTTGGAAATCATATGAGGAATACAAACAAACTAACTAATACACAAAAAAAATCAGTCATATAAAATCTACAATAAATGTGTAGATAAAAAATTTATTTCGAAAAATTGCCATTTAAAAAAAATCAAATTAATCAATACACATAAAAACACACATCCAAATGTTTTTTTTTTAACAAGAAAATGTGAAAGAGTTCGTTATCGTTGCCAAATAATTTTGTCAAGTAGTTTTATTGCCACTTCTTGGATCTCTCGGTGTATGCTCGTAACCGAATCTGCCATCATTTTATATGGGCTAAAAAATCACAAGAACAGCAAATTTAGTCATGTATTGTGGCGAACAGCAACCATTCAGATCGCTTCGACGAAAAAGGAAATTTAGAGAAAAAAAACGTTTTCATCGTCGCAACATTAACAATATTTTAAACAAAAAAAAACACTTTAAAAAGAATCTTTAAATAGCAAATATATTTAAAAACACTCGAAATGAAAAACCACTTCAACATCAGAATATTGAGATATAAGACAAACAACAACAAATTTAGTGAGAAATGTTTTTTTTTTTTTTTTTTGAAACAGTTAAAAAATTTAAGAAAAAAGGGCAAATAAACAACAAAAAAATATTTACAGCGGTAACAGCATAAAAAAAATTAAAAGAAGAAATTTCTATAAAATGAGAAGTAAAAAATGAAATAATGTATTAATGACTAAAATTATTTCTATATATACATGTATTGAATAAGTAGCACTTTCAACAATTTTTTTCTCTCTTTAATTCATTAAAACAAAATACAAAAGCAAATAAAAAAAACACACAAAAAACATAAATTGATTAAGTAAATAATCTAAAAAATGTGTATACAACTTTCGATACATATTATATCTAATAAAAAATGAAAAGTAATAATCCAATTGATGAAAAAAATACGCACTTAATTAAATTGAAATGAGAAACAAACAAAAAAAATTTTTTGAGAAAAAAACTTCTATAAGCATATTTAATGAAATTCAGAAAAAAAAACATTTTTTTTTTAAATCATTGAAAAAACAAAATAAAAAAAAAACAACAAAAAATAATTATAATCAAAGTATGAAGCGACCTCAAAATTTATGAGATCATCACACTCACATACACATACACACGATTTTTCTGTTCTTATTTCGGTACATCCATTTCAAAGGAGAAGTAGAAGAGGAAAAGGGAGAAAAACGAAACCACAAAAAAGAATGACATCAATAAAATATTGCAATGTGAAATCTTATTTACCACTTTCATTGTTATCCAACAGCCGCATCCAAATACACTGTTAGAAATCGAAAAAAGGAGAAGAATGAAATAAAAGAGAAAATAATAGTTTATGGATTTAAAATATAAACAAAAGTCAATGAAAATTGTACATGATTTTGAGAGAATCCAGTTGATAAACGATTGTCGACGATAGTCGGTGGTGTCATTGATTGAAAACAAAAAGAAAACTGGATGAAAAAGAACATATAAATGTCGAGAAACGTTTATAAATATACACATATATTTTTTTTTCTTTTTGCGTAATTTTATCATATAATTATGAAGTTAGACACTCGAATGTAAAAGGCAAAAAAAAATGAATAATATAAATGTCTCTTTAAAATCCGAATTGATGCAAATTTTATTTGACATGGGCAACAGCAACAACAATTTTAACCAAAAAAAAAGAAATTACGACTTATCATTTCTTAATGATTTATTGAATGAAAAGTATTCTAAATTTAAACAAAATCAAAACAAGAAGAAAAAATTCTCAAAAAAAAACATTTAAAAATATCTTTAAAAACACATACACACATATGAAACGTAAAATTGAGTAAATGCACCGTGCCATCATCGTACACACACAAAAACAAAAACGTTTTTTTTCGCAGACAAAACTCTTATATGTTCATAATCGTGTTTAAGTCACACATTCTCTGTGCACATACGCCTTTTAGTGTTTTTAGAGAACATTCACAATCTGCGCGATCCGTTTGAATTCGTTTTTTTTCTTTCGTTTTCTTCCAAAATGCTCTTTCCTTTTACTCAGGGCCAGAAATGCTCACACCGTCTTTAACATACACACTTCATTTCGTATGTTTTAAGTATCAAAACTAATCAAATTTATCATCGCAGTATGTGTAACAATGTGACTCTGGCATTGACCTCATTTCAATCGGATCGGTTATGAGTGTTTCTGCCACCGATCGCAGTGGTATTGTATCCTGAACACTTGTCGTATGTTAAAACAAAGACAGCTTTTTTCCACTGTGCGCATTCGAGCATTCAACGCTCTCCTTGAGAAACGTATGTAAAAACTAAATTATTGAAGAAAAAAAATAAGCGAAATCAAAAAGTATTAAACTTTTCAAAAACAAAATATTTGTAATTTATTCCAATAATGATGAGTGTTTTTAATCGAAATTTATGTGAAATCTCTTTAATTGAAACAAAAATAAAAAAATTAATTGGATTGTGTGTTTTTTCCATCACAGCAGAATTGAGATGACACAATTTAAGCAGTTGAGAGAATAGAAAAGAAAAATGATAATGTTTTTTTGTCAAAAACTAATACAAACCAAACCGCACGACACTCACATCAGTTGATTTTATATCTATGTATAAAGGTATAGTTTGAGATGAAATGATGCAAAAAAGAGAGAGAAGAGTTTAAAAAAATCATCACACATCAATAAACGCCGAACGTCGAATCTAATTTTCTATCTAAATCTATTTCATTCACAATATTCGTAACGTAATTTCATTTTATCACAATTTCATCTCATCGACAAAAACTCTGCAAGCATTCGGAATGGCATACATTTATGCGATGCATAGATCATTCAATCCATCGCATAAATGTATGCCATTCCGAATGCTTGAGAAAAATGAAATGCAAACAAATAAAAAAGCATTCATGAGAAACAACAAATTAATTAAAAAAAAAAAGAAATACAAAAACAAAATCTATTATTTAAATAAAAAAATTATTGTAAAGAGAGAATTTATTAAACTTACGATTTAAATTGAAAAGAATCAACATCTTTATCATGAATAAATATTATATTGAAGAGTTACATTGAGGTAAATAAAATAATGCATTCGCACGTAAAATAAATTTAAAAAAAAAAATCACACAACAATTTATCTAACAAAAGTGATGCAATGAATATATTTAACAAATAAAAGAATATGGTATATGCTTACGAAGCAACAAAAAAAAACAAGAAATAAATAGAGAGTAAATAAGATAAATTTCATTAATGCAAATGAAATGAAAATCAGACAAAAACAACAACAACAACAGTTCAACAAAATAGCTAAATATCAATAATTTGCAAAGGAACATATATTATTAAAATTATATTAATAAAAATATATTGTGTGGTTAATGCGTAAGATGAACAAATTTATAAACAGAAATGGCAAGCGCGATTAAAATTTAGAGAAACAAATATTTTGATGCAGATTGCAAATGAACATTTACCAGAGAAACGAAGTTAAACACAAATTTACTGTATAAAAATAGCAACAAACAGCAACAAAATCAGAAAAAAAACAATGCTCTTTAATTTTCTTTCCATTGAGTGTTTTTTGTAAATGATATAGATTTTTTCTAAACAAGAAGATATTTGTTGGATTGAACACATATTTAAGATATATTTAAAAAAAAAAACAACAATAAAAAACTGTTTTCAAATCAACACACACACACATACAAAGAATATAAGATATATCAGTGTAATACATGAGGCAAAACGTCGAACTGGCTGAATATAAATGGCTTCAAATTGTAAGCTCCTATTCACACATACACCATAAGTTCCCAAGGACTCTATGAAGCCATTTTCATCATCATTATTATATTATCACGAATATGTTACCAATTGCAGTATCCTCAATGAATATTAAAATGTTCTTAACGTTGCAACCATATGAAATCACTCGACAAATTTCCCACTCATTAAATTAAACAAGAAACAAGATACAAACACAAACACAAATATTGAGAATCCAAATATGTGTCCATGTAATTTTAACCTTAAAAAAATTATAAATATAAATATTAAAGAGATTCTTATTTGATGAAAACTTACAAAATATATTTAAAATAGATGAATGTACACCATTGATTTCAAGAAAAACACAAAAACAAAGTACATTTCATAATGAGTCACGCGTGTTTGTAAACATAATGAAAGCTTTGGTATTTGATATAGATTTAATGATACGTCTCCGTTTCCGAATTTCCTTTCTCATTGTCAATTCAAGTATTGAAAAAACAAAAAAAAAAAAACAATGAATTCCTCTCAACTCAATCTTCCATTTTTTTCGCACATACACAAACACACATATGAATCGTTGCGGCGAAAGAGTAGCTCTTATTTTTCTCCAAATAATACTGCAACATAAAGTTTTTTATAAATAGTTTATTTGTTGTATTACAACAAATAAACCGTGTGAAAAAAACTTCATGTTGCAGTATTATTTGGAGAAAAATAAGAGCTACTGTTTCGCCGCAACGATTCATATGTCTGTCTCTTTTTATGCCTCTCTGGTTTACACATTTGTAAGTTCATTGATACATGTGACTGTCCACACATAATCCGAACAAAATCTGTGTCCCCTCCGACACATCAAGGCTCACGCTGCTATATATCAATTCTATCGCTGTCACATCTGTTTCGACAAAGGATTTTAACACAAAATGGTGTGTATTCTCTTCGAATTAAATATTTATTATCAAACTATTTGCCGAAACAAAAAAAAAAATCATAATTAGGAAATACGTTGACATTTTTGAGCGAGATACTAAACATTTGATTTTGAAATCTTCATTTGGTTTTCATGCATCTCGAAAATATCAATCAAAAAATTGACCTGTTAAAATCTCTCCAATAGCTATTTCGGAACATTTAAAAAAAACCAACCCGTTTGAAATTAATTTAAAAAAAAGAGCATAGAACACACATTCACATGCATACAAAATCATTTTTAAGAGCGCATATTGTCTATGAATCTTTTTGTAAATTTATACCTAAACTACGAGCAATAACCGCACACTACTTACAACTTTAATGACTGAAACATTGTGTAATCTAAATTTGAAACAATGTAAACAAAAAAGTAAACATAACAAAAAATGAAATCTAATGTGATGAACACCTCTTCAGCGAGTTTCGAACTGACACGGTATAGATGTGCAGCCGAGAATGAAAATGACTTCTTGAGGAATCCTATCTTCTGCATTTGATTAATGGACATTGACGTGAAGAGGTGAGATATCTTAAGTCATTTTTATTCTCAGCCAAAATGTATGCGGTACGAACGAGGCGTGCACACTGCAAATAAATGACGAGTCATTTCATGTGAAGCTGAAGTTGACCAAGACTGCATCAATTTGTAATTATTATACCATAGTCTTGGGGGTGTTAATCTTAGCCTTATCTGTTTATTCTCTTCACTCTCTCTCTCTATCACTTCTTCTCTATTTTTCTCTTTATATTAAGTGTAATCTGTCGTATAAAATAAATCCATTTCGCATATTAAACAGTATAAATTAACGATCAC